TTTCCACTGCCACAATGACCTTTTATATTAAAAAAGTATAGAGTCTTGGTGGCAGTGGAAAAAAATATTTTTAGCTACTCATTTTGGACTTAAAATTTGTGTTTTAGTATAACTCAACTTTTTTGACCACAGGCGTTGTTATTTTCCAGAAAAAATTTTGTCGGCCCACCCTAAAACTATGTTGAAGGAAACATACTTATGAGCAAGGCGGCAAGTTCTCAAGTGGTCTTATGCGGATTTTCCTCAATATCTAGAAGTACATCTAATTTTTTTTTATCAGTAACTTTAACATTTCTTCCTAGTTTTTCAATATTTTTTACATGTCGAGTATAATAAAACTTCCTTTCAGTTTTGCGAACTGTAGACAGCGAAATTTGTTTAGCAGTTTAGAATTGTTTAGACCAGGGTATTTATTATTAAACATTTCACAAACCTCCTTTTGAGTTCTTGTTTTATTAACACAACCAGTCATAATTAAAATGTTTATTCTTTGAGTATTGGACAAATGAGCCATAATTAAATTTAATACACGCACAAATATTATACTGTTTATAACCGTATAATATTATATGTTATACTATAAACATGTTATATATGTTATACTGTTACAAATAAACATCTGTTAGTAACTTTAAATACCTAAATGACAGCAGCCTACTAGATTCATATCAATTGTTTATTTGGCTTTTTGAATAATATTTTATTATCTTCAAAGTTTTTTTCCTAATGTTTAGCAGAATTAATAGGAAAACACCTGATTATTTCTAAAGTATATTTTAATCGACCAAGCAATATTTCTGGTTTAAAAGTTAGGATAACGAAAGAAGTGAACAAAATAACTCTCAAGGTCATACAAAATGTTGTATGAGAATTCTAAAATCGCCTCAGTTATTGTCAAAAAGTGAATAATGGTGGTCACGTTGAACATTTATTGTAATTGTAAAAATCAATTTTCTGTTATGATTTCCAATATGATTTCCTTATTTCCAATAAGGTGTCACACGACCCCCTTTGTTATTTAAAATTTTTCAGGGGGTGCTTATAATTCAAAGGCGATGATGGAGGGGATAATATTTTCATACTGCAAATTGTTAATTTAGAATAAAAATCGACCTATTTCAGGTTTTTTCCACACAGTACATAAAAATGAATTTATTTCATACACATGGACCGCGTGGTATATTCATTATCATCGAGCAAAAAGACAAAAGAGGGAATGTAAAGGTAGTGGGGGCAAAACCTTCGTTAGACAGGAAATGCCATCTTGAGAGGCCACATTAAACAAAAGGAAAGAGAATCTTTCCTTGTTTAATAAATCAAATTTAGTTGGGTTACGTTATTGTTTGTCCCAACTGTCACATGAAAGCTTATTTATATTGAAGTTTTTTAACAATTGTGTCACATTTTAGACTGTTATCGTTAATAATTATTTAAAGTTTCTCGTCTAAGACACATTCTGAAAACTATTTTATAGCTACTGTTAATAAGTGTCGGAAAATTTAAATTTGGCGCATTCGCATTTCCGGATATGTCCGCCATCAGAGGCCACTTTTATGGTCTCCTTTTCATAACGATTAGATTTGCTCTTTTGTCTTTTTGCTCGATGTTTATTACACAGTGATCCTTTTCCGCAGGTCTGATGATGGGGTATAAATTGTAGTAAAAATTGTAAACTTCAAAATCAGTCGCAGAAATATACCGTCAATAATTGATTTAATAATACATTTTTGAACTTAAAGGATTGCGAATGGAAACTTTTTTTCACACCACTCAGGATGTTTATTTTTAAGGACATCTACAATAGCCATTAACGTTATTAGTAGACTTCGGCAAATATGCATATTGCATATTTTGCATATTGTGCATATTTTATGCAAATATTTCATATTTTGGCATATTTGTATAAAAGTTTGCATAAAGTACATAAAAGTTCAGATTTTTATACTGTATTTGAAAATTTTTAAACATACCAATTTATTTCAATTCTTGTATAAAATTTTGTAGTCATTTTAATCAAGAAATGATCTAAGTACGTAATCTCTACAGGTACAAAACATTTACAATTTCAAAGAAGATCAATTTAATAGCCCTCAAATTTCTTAGAAAGTCTCGGTCACTGAGGCATTCAGTTATTGGATAATCGCTAAGGGTTCGCTCATTTGCATTTTAGGATCTAATCCCCAAATCTATCTACAATTTATTGTATTTTAACAGCAGGTAAACGGCTAATAGTTTTGTACCTAATTTAGGGATTTTCCAAAATCTCCCAGTTTATTGAAATAGGTACCTAAACATTTCTAATTTGATGCTCAGATTTGTAAATCATTTTTGTTTTGATATTCAAAGCGTAAACACTCGTTGTGCGTAACAAAAAGAAAGATTGTGATTTTATAATGCCTAAAACAACCAGTGCTTCAACTTGGATTAAACCTTATAAAGAGCTGTCTATGTATATGGGAAAAATCTACTGTTCAGTCTGTGGCAAAATTGTAAGTATCTAATATTTTCTATTAAATATCTAATATTTTATACATACAGGGTGTTTCCAAATGACACTTACAACGTTTGACTGTAGATACTTCTCGAAAAATTTAACAAAACGATATAGTTAATGAGGGGTCAAACTTATTTAATTTTCGAGATACAGGGTGTTAAAATTAAAAAAAAATTAAATTCTTTTAGTTAATAACAACAATAACTTTAAAACCAATGAACGTATTTACTTGAAATTTAGTACTCGTAGGTTGTTTTTAAATGAAAAATAGCTTTCTTTAGTGAGAAATCCATGGTACAATACAATGGTGTGTATTTAGAAAAATTTTTCACCTTTACTTTTTTTTATGAAGTCAGCTATTCTAAAACACAATTATTTTTATTGTAATTGAATTAACAAAAAAAAAAACTTTTGTTGAATTTTAAAATAAGTTATATGATGTACTAATGGTTAGTAATAAAAACTAATTTGTGGATTAATACTGCATTTAAAACACTTAGCGAGTGTTTTTTTTTTCCAAACCAGTTATTTGATTAACCAAAAAGACCTTGTATATTTTTATATTTTAAAGGTTAAGTTAAAATAAAGGTTTTTATTTTTATTTATAGATAGCATGTGAGAAGAAATTTCAGATAGACCAACATGTGAGAACTGCTTCACACATTGCAAAAGAAGGAAAATAACAGGAAAACATCAAACTTCAATGGCTAAATGTTTCCAATCTACTTCAAAAAAATTAGATGAGCAAGAAACTTTTAATGAAGACTTGTGTCGCGCATTAGTGTCTGCAAACATACCGCTTTCAAAATTAGCAAATGTAAATTTTAGTTCGTTTCTAAAAAAATATTGCAAACTTAATGTTTCAAGTGATCGGTCTCTAAGAAGAAATAATGTGAACGGGCTATACTCGTCGGTGTTAATTAATATTAAGGAAGAAATTGCAGATAATTATTTTTACGTATCTGTAGACGAAACCACTGATTTCTCAGGAAAGTATATTGATCATTTATTAATTGGTGTTCTTAAAGAAGATACCTTACCAAAATCTCAGCTTATTTCATGCCAGCAACTTGAGAAAACAAATGCTTTAACAATTTCGCGTTTTATTCAAGAAACATTAGCAACTTGTTTTCTTCCGACAACTATTCCTTCTAATAAAAACTGCTTATTTTATCGGATGCTGCTCCTTATATGGTAAAAGCAGGACAAAATTTAAAAATATTTTTCCCAGATTTAATACATGTTACTTGTGTAGCGCATGGATTAAACAGAGTTGCAGAGGAAATACGAAAAAAGTTTCCTCTTGTAAATACCATGATATCCAGTGTCAAAAAAGTATTTCTTAAATCTCCAATAAGAATTCAACTTTATAAAGAAATGCTACCTAACATCCTCTTCCACCACAACCTATTTTAACGCGATGGGGAACATGGTTAAAGCAGCTAATTTTTATGCAGATCATTTTGTTAAAATAAAGAATATAATTGATACGTTAACAGATAAAAGTTCCCAATCTCTTTTGGATTCTAAACAAACTTTTCAGAGTAACTTCAACAAGAACTTTCATTTATAAAATCAAATTTTAGTTTTGTTCAAAAAACAATTACTCAGTTAGAATCACCAAAACTGTCATTGTTCGAAAGTACAGCATTAATATAAGAATTTGCGTCATGTTGTCGGAACGATAGAGGTAATATTGGAAAAGATATTTTAAAAAAATTTGAAGCTACTATGGAAAAAAATAAAGGTTACCATATTCTTTCTGAAGTAGTCAGTGTTCAAGCTGGAAATATTTTGGAAATATTTAATTTAGAACCAAATGTTTTGTTTAGTTTGAAAAATGCTCCCGTTACATCAGTTGATGTTGAACGAAGTTTTTCCATATATAAACATATGTACTCAGACAGAAGCCACAAGTTTTTGTTAGAAAATTTTGAACACCACTTGGTCATTTATTGTTACCATAATTCTAAATAAGTTTATTTATACTTAAAAATTATGTAGTTACTTAAAATAAATGTAAATCTTAATGAATAGTAGGAAATATTTAGTTATGTACACTTTTTTTTTAAATAAAATTGTTACTATTTTACGATTTTTTATTTATTTGTATGCATATTTTGTAAAATATTTGCATATTTTCGGGTAAACACGTGCATATTTATGCGCATATTTTCTACATTTTTATTTGCATATTTGCCGAAGTCTGGTTATTAGTTCTCCTAATCTTGTCGAATGAGTTAAAATAAAAGATTAGTTAAGATCGATTTTGTTCGTATCCTACATATATGTTGTACTAGATTAAATGGATTACGTATCCGATAAATCATTTTTTTATTATACAATTATTTGATATATACTTGAAAATTTAAATTAATTGATTTGATTATTCAAATTTTTTACTGAAGTTTAGGCTTTTTGACAGATAGGTTTATAAAAATTTTAGTCATTTACAAAAAAATACCCCTTGTGACGACCGATTATCACATATTTTTTATTTTTCTAGGAAGATACGCAGAAACGATAGCATGCGACACCACCACAGTTCGACTAGTATCTTCAGGAGCTTTCGACAATTCTGTTACAATCCAAATGAGGCAATTAACTGAAAACGACATTGACGGTCACTTAAGTGTTGTTTGTTTTACAGATGATATGTTGCAGTAAGTATTAAAATATTTAATATTTAAAGTATTTTATCACTTCTATTGTTACGAAGGCCGAGTCATAATTAGAATTACTTATTAGAATTATATCCTACTCAGACTGTATTCTGTTTCTACTAAAATATCACAGATAAAACAATATAATTAAATGAATTATACCTACAACGATGCTGTTTTAGTTAACAGTATAATTTATCAGTTAGTACATGTAGTTGAATAATTAGGAATAAAATAAAACAAGCTAACGAGACATGGCTTAGGTGAAAATACAGCGAGATAGAAAAAGTAAAGAAAGAGTATAACACTTTAAATATGCTTAATAAAATTAGAGAAATAGGCTTAATTTTACATAATTCCAAACAAAACATGTTAATTTCTGGGTACAACTGGAAAATAAAACAACCCAGAATGTAGAAACTAGGAAGAGTTATGTGAAGGACTTGCTTAATGATAATGAAATATCAAAGAAATCTGGTCCTCTCATTAAAGATTCAGAAATAAGAAATGTGATACATCGAGAAAAAGATGAGAAAAACCTAAGATCTGTTAATCTCAATTAAAAATTCCTAAAATTTTTTGACGATTAAGAATTGAAATGGTAGCAAAGTATTAAAACGTTTTTTTTTTATTTTAATTGATTTATTATTATTATTATCCCAGATTTACCCATACGGCTCACACTCCCTCTAAGGGGAAAATTCACTCATCCCAGATACCTACGGTATCAAAAGGATTAAGCTCTAGCGGGACTCTTTCCGTGTTATCGAGCCCTAGGTGACTTGGTATGTTGGAGTATCTCCCAGAAATTTTCGTACACATCTGGACGTTAAGAGGAGTACAGCTTTTTGCATGGCCTTATACAGATGTTCATTTAGACCCAGCTGTTTTATGTTCGCTAGGAGGTTTTTGAGAATAACACCAGTAGTAGAAAGAACAATAGGTATTGTCTGGGTACTTTCCATTCTCCATTGTCTCTTAATTTGTATTTTTAGATCTCTATACTTGGCGATCTTTTCGTTGTATTTAACACGCAAATTGTTAGTGTTAGGTATCGCCACATCAATAAGTGCTGTTTGCCTGGTAATTTTATTCACTAGTATGAGATCCGGTCTATTATGGGCCACTGGTTGGTCTGTGAGTACAGTGCGGTCCCAATATAGCTTGTAGTTGTCATTTTCAAGCATTCTGTCAGTGACATATTGATAATAAGGAAGATGGTCGGTTTGGAGAAGTCCCAGTTTGTCAGCTAGTTCTTGGTGGATAATCTTTCCTACTGAGTTATGGCGTTCTTTATAATCTGTACCGACAAATGCCTGGCAGCCACCGGTAAGATGTTGGATGGTTTCTTGGGCTTGGCATCCATATCGGCATTTGTCATTTTGGACTTGAGGATCTTTAACAATATATTTCAGGTAATTTTTGGTTGGAATTACCTGATTCTGAATGGCAAGTAGGAAACCCTTAGTCTCGGGAAACATCTTTGCTGATGTCAACCTATAGTTCGACGATGTATTGTCGACATATTCCTGGCTGATCTCATTTTGATGTCGCCCATGCAGAGGTTTACTCATCCAGGTGCGCCTTTTTTCATGCTTAGTCAGATGGTTTATGCGCATTTCTTATTCCCTCAGTTTAAGCGGCGTTGTGTTATCTACTGCGCAAATTGCTCCATGTAAAGTAGATATCTCAGCTTGTACATGAAAATAAGTTCTTAAATTAGCAATTTGTTTATCTAATTGCTCACCTATATCCATAAGTCCTCTTCCTTCTTGATACCGCGGCAATGTTGTTCTCTGTACTGCACTGCGTGGATGATGTTTTTGCGCCTTTGTAAGAAGTGTTCTTACTTTCCGCTATATACCCTCTATATCCGTTTTTGACCACTTTATAATACCAAATGAGTAGCTATTAAGATATGACCCATTTAGTTGTCTTACTCTTCGTACGAACTCCGAAGTTACAAAGTGTGAAAAGTGTTCTTACTTTTCGCTGAAGACCCTCTATATCCGTTTTTGACCACTTTATAATACCAAATGAGTAGCTCAGCGCGAAACAGGCATACGTATTTAATGCCTTAAACAAATTTTTACTATTAAGATATGACCGATTTAGTTGTCCTACTCTTCGCACGAACTCCGAAGTTAGTTCAGTTTTCATCTGTTTATGGTCAATTTTCCGCGCCTGTTTTACTCCGAGATATTTGTAAATATCGTTTTCACCCATTGCCTCGATATTTTGGCCATCTTGCATATCGAAACCTCCGGGCTGATCCTTTTCTCTGACTATATTTATTATACGGCACTTGTCTAGTCCAAAATGCATACTGATATCATTTGAGAAAGTTTCTACAGTTTTTAGCATCTGATCTAGGTGGTTTCGAGTGGAAGCCATTAACTTTAAATCATCCATATACAACAGATGATTTAGCTTCGCCACAACAGTGTTGTTATTTTTGATGCTAAATCCTGAGTCAGTGGAGTTCAGCAGCTGAGATAGTGGGTTCATCGCTAGGCAGAACCAAAGTGGACTCAACGAGTCCCCTTGGAAAATGCCTCGGTTAATAGCGATATCTTCTTGTAGTCAATGAAGGCAGTAAAAAGGTTTCTTTTTTTGGTGTATGCCTGGTTAGAAATGACTGAGCCGATAATAAGTTGTTCTTTGCAGCCCATGGAGCCCTTAGCGCATCCTTTCTGTTGAGGTTTTATGATATTGTTCAGAGCACAGTGTTGGTAGATACGCCAGGCCACACAGGATGTGACCAATTTGTACAAAGTTGAAAGACAAGTAATTGGGCGGTACTTGGCTAGATCTTAGGTGTTATTTTGATCCTTTGGTATTAGATAAGTGGTTCCCTGAGTAAAAAAATGTTGGTATTTCCTGTGAATTAGAAATAATATTATTAATAATTACTGTTAAAAGGTCATGAATACTCCAAAACTTCTTTAAACGGAAGTTTTGAACTCCGTCTGGTCCAGTAGATTTTCAGTTATGAAGCTCTTTGATGATGTTCAAGACTTCTTCAGTGGTGAAAGGTCCATAAGAAATATTCCTGTAGTGTTGACAATTGTTCGCCATGTCTTCAATCCAACCAGCATTGTTGTTATGAGTAGCTGGCTTCGAAAGTTGATTTCCCAAAACTCATGAATTTCTTCTTGGCTTGGGTAGGATTTATTTACATTTGCTACAGTGGAATTTAGTTTCCTATAGAAAGCCTTTTCTGAATTTTCAAAAAGTATATTGTCGCATTTACGGTTGTCACTAACTTTGTATCTCCTTAAGCGACCTGAATAAATGGAGAGTTTCTGTTTTAATGTGTCTAGGCAATGTTGAGCTGTGTTGTTTTCTGGATCATGTTGTGAGTGTCTTTAAGTATTCAGAATAATTTCTTTAGCTCTTTTAATTAGTTTTCGACTTCTTACTCCTCGGATATATTCCGTAATTTAACCAATATCCCTGCGCAATAATTCAATTTTACTCAGCAGCATTTTTTCCCAGGGTGCAATTCTGTTTTCAGTCCTTCCGATATTAGTTTCCCGTCGTGTTCTGATCTTAATGCCCATAACATTAGCAATTGCTGTTGCTGCGCAGTAAATCAGCATATGCAAATATTCTAATGTATGTGCTTCCACGATATAATTGGGTAGGACTTCAGTGTTCATAATTTGTAACAGCGCACCTAGTTTCTTACAAGAGTTTATTTTACAAGAGTAGATACACCTTCGATGAATGCCTGACGGGAACTTTATTTGTATTAACCCATAGATATGGTACAGTATGACCTTCATTTAGCCAAGTCTCGTCCAAATAAAAAATTGTTTTCCCTTTTTCTCGGTACTTTTTAATAGTTCTTAGATATTCTCGTCTCCAACATACAATGTAATCTTTTTCAATTAAAACGGATTTTTTTCTATTTTTTTTTGCCAACGAAATCACATCTCTCTCAATAGTCCCCATAATTTCTTGTTACTTATGATAAGTAACTCTTCGTTTTCTCTATACATGTTTGGATTTTGTCCAATGTTGGAAATTCTTTGTTAAAAAAAATGAGTGGACGCTGCGTCTTATCATGTTTTAATGTGTTTCTTCAATTTTCAAGGGTTAACTTCCTCTACTCTTCCAGGGAGATGAAACAGTTTATACTGTTCTTTCTTTTAGGAATCTATAAATTGTTGCTTCCTTAACCCCTGTCATATTTAAACATATGTTAACGATTTCACGAACATTACTTAAAGGGCCTTGATGTACAAATGCATCGTGTATGTGATGTACATTTAATATTACATTTTTCTCTCTTAGACTGAAGGCACCTTTAAAACTACACTTAACCTGTTGTCGACGCCATTTTTAAATGCAAATAACAAAATATCAACACCAAGAACGTCGGTAGGTAAGACATAAACAATGTATATCTACAAAGTAAATTCAAGATGCAAACAATTTCTAATTTATATTATTGGCATAAGCTGTAATGTGGCATAAAAACTACATAAACTATCATTATTGAAGCCTTATCAGTAATTCCAGGTAATCGTTCAAAGAAGTTATTCTTTTTGTGTCAGGCGATAACTTGTATAGAAAACAATAATCACCTTTAAATTACTGTTTACATTAATTTATTTCGTGAAAAATTGAATTCTCTCGTTAATCACCTGTGTATAATTAACAATAATCGTGTGGCATATATACCGACGTTTTTTAAGCACAAAAAAGGTATAATGAGACTAGTGGACACATTTTACAGAAGATTTTTTAAAAGATAATTAATTGTTGACGGCATCTTAAAATATTAACATTTTTTATTTATTTCAAAACAAGTATAGGATGACGCCTATGGTTTTTTGACCTGTTGAGGATTTGCATACATAATGTGCTATCAATATGATGGAAAAGCACTATACCTTGCTTTTGACCGACATGTTTAAGCCTGGTTGATATTTATTAAACGGCCTTATACTATTCTCCTCTTATTTTGGGTAGATCATGTACGTGATGATTAACGGT